CTGTGTCTATGGGCTATGTAGAAGTAAGTTCCTTAAGCCTCTGGTCACATTTTCATCAATTAATCAATATATTACCTTGCTTTATGAGTACTTCTGTTTAAAGATACATTTCATATATGTTGTTGATGCGTTAACATTGAACTCACAACCAATAGCATTACAACACATGCCTGAAAAAAACTTGTCTAAGAAATGTATTTACATCCTAAGGCACATAACAGGCTTCCCTGAGGTTAGGAAAACCAGACAGCATTTCAGCATGGTGTTTGGGTGCCATTTTAAACAGTGAAATCAACAGGAAGCATAAACATTTGAGAAATGTGGCATACATCATGTAAAGTACATTTGTTTACAACATGAAAATCAAAACAAGACGGCAGATGGTCGCCTTGTTTGACCTCAGCTAAGAAAATGTGTCAACGAACTCAAAATTTTTATCACTTTGTATCACACGTTTCAGCAAATGACTGTGTAAGTTCTTCAAGTATTGATATTGGTATGACAAATTGATTTTAGCAAATAGGTGAATTTATGTGTAGGAAATACATGAATAATTAGGATCAGTTGTATATGCACACATTCTTTCTCAGCATACTTCTTTTTAAATATAGTATAAAATATGTGTATTTTTTTTTTTAACCACCTTGCTGTTTTAGAGTATGTTGCATGCTACTTTTTTGCAGGTGGAGTTATACACCATAAAGATTTCTCCATGGCAGAACAGGTAATTTCCTCTTGAACTATAGAGGACTCTATGAACTCTGGAGGGGAGAAATCTTGATTGCTTTATTAGTCCCCTTTTGATGCATATGTGACTATCTACAGTTTCTTGCTATTAGCAATACTGCTTTAAATAAACAGCTATGACCATACATCTGCATTCTGGAACAGATTCTTATATAAGCAGAGTTGTTAGGTTAAAGAATGAACGCACATATAATTTTGCAAGATATTTTACTATACATTTCTTTAAAGACACTGGTTTTATTTATTTATTTATTTATTTTGTATGTATCAGGGATTCAGCTCACGACCGTATGCTTGCCATGCAGGGGCTTATGCCACTGAGCTAAATCCCTGGCCTCCCCCTTTTTTTGAGACAAGGTCTCACTATATAGTCCAGGCTGGCCATGACAGCAGCAGCACTTCGGAGAGTGCTGGGATTACAGATATGCACCACCACACCAAGCTTCCTTTAAAGACTATTTCTACTATGACTGAAGAGACACAGTAAGAGTTTGGTAGAAAGGACTAAAATTCTTAAGCCATAAGAGTTGATAAATAGTGGTGTTATTATTTAAAAGGAATTATATAATGAAAACTGAGTATCAATAAAATCATTTACATAGAGTTAAACCAACATGCTTTAAGCATTTTGAATGTTGAAACATTTCACCTTTCTGAGCGAGACTGTTCAACCAAAAGAGCAACTAAAGCTATCATCTTTTCAAGGGCAGCTGGTCTGTATTTTTCTTCTGCCAGAGAGAGGATATCTTCTTCTTCCTCTTCTTCTTCCCCTTCTTCCTCTGATAGGACTTCAACTTGTGGCTAAATGGAACAAAACTGAATTTTAGTGTGTTATTAGTTTTAGCATCTTGATAACTAAGTCAGCTTTATATAATCATCTAGGGCAGATGGTGGCATGATAATGTTATCACAAAAAACTACCATTTAGAGGCCCAATCCTAACTTAAAACAATCTAAACTACATTCAGGACAATTTAAATCAAACTGGCAAAACTGAGAAAACAAGGATTCCTAATACTGTTTACCATGACTAGAGAGAGAAATCCTTTAAAAGTTACTTTGCTCCTCATAAGCAAGTTCCTTGGAAGATGAATTAGAATAAAAAGCTGTAAGTAGGACTGAACAGTATTTCTTGTTTAATAAGCTAGCCACACAGAATAGAAGATCCTTATTGTAGCTTTCAGATAATCTAAACAATAAGTTTTGAAAGGCATACTTTCTGGTGCTCTGAAATGCAAGAGACTAAAATGATTTTATCATGTACAATACCAAGAGAAAAGCAGTCAAGTAGGTAGCCATTTAGACTGGAATTAAGTAATAATGGTATATATTTTAAGAACACTGTAGCATAATGGTTAAGTGTTGTAGCTTAGTAGTCTGACCAAAGATCTAAACCATTCATTTTGATCTAACACAAGTAATCTCTGTGTCAGTTCCTCATCTGTAGAATGAAGATAAAAATAGTGTTTCTCTCTTAGGGTTAAGAAAGGATTAAATGGGGTTGGGGATTTAGCTCAGCGACATAAGCACCAGCCTGGCAAGTGCAAAGGTTGTGAGTTCAATTTTGGGTACAAAAAAAGAGAAGATTAAATAAGATAGTGCAAACAGATCATACAATCTAAATGGCTGTCGCAGATAACACAAAATTCATGATACTTAACAATTATTAAAATAATCTAATTAAACTGGATGTGGTGACATCTATAATCCCAGCATTCAAGAAGTGAAGTCAGGAGGATCACTGTGAGTTGGAGGCCAGCATGGGCTACAGAGTGAGTTCAAGGCTTAGTTGAACTACAAAGCTAGATTCTGCCTTAAAAAAAATACATTTTGGAAGACTGTAACAGATTTAATAGTAAGGCCTGCCTGGCAAGCAAGATCGTAAGTTTGATTCCTGGTACCAAAACAAAACAAAACATCCAAATTTAATAGTAAAGAACTTAGAAAATATGACTACTAGCCAAATGTGGTGGCTTATGACTGCAATTCTGGCTACTAAGCAGGCTGAGGCAGAAGACTGCAAATTCCAGAGCAGCCTGAGTAACTTACCAAGACCCTGTTTCAAAATAAAGAGTTGGAGATTTAACTCAACACTCCCTAGCTTTAATCTCCGTACCATAAAAACAAAATAAAACCCAACCAAAAATGTGCAACCAAGCAATATACTGGGCAGCACAAGTGCCTGCCTGGCAAGTGCAAGGTTCTGAGTTTGATTCCTGGTAGCAAACCTCCCCTAAAACCAACCAACCAACCAACCCCAAAAAAGAAAAACACCAAAGGTTCCAAACAAAGTAGGCTGTGGGTATTCTTAAATTTCTTTGGTTTGTCCCATAGCCTTACAAAGTAACTTATTATTCAGTTGCTTCTTGCTTTGCCACAGATATTACAATTAACAGTATCAACCAATCTTAGAGCCTTAACACTACCTATTTAAACGGGCTAGAATGTAGGGGTTCCAAAACTGTATGACTTTGAATAATGCAAACAAGATCTCTAAATCCCCAATACTTACATTTTCAGGTCCTTTGGTTCCCATGTAAAAATGTACCATTGTAGATATGGCTTGCAAGGAAAGCAAAAACTGGCTCTAAAAAAATTGATTAAAAATTTAAGTTAAAGACAAACTCTATGTATGGAAAATAGGTACATAATCCAAAAAACAAGATTTAGTCTCACCTCTTCTTCACCCATTTTGGCAAATTCATAAAGGAAGGCAAAATACTCTGTAAGATGTTTACTGTGCGGTTTTACACCATGTTCCATAATTAATAAGAGAGTTCTCACAAATCGAGTGACACAGGAACGACCACCAATATCTTCTACTGAGGCATCCATATCATCTGACCTGGAAAGAAAATTAAAAAATTTTTTTGTCTTTTTTGAGACAGGGTCTTGCTATGCAGTTCAGGATGGCCTTGAGCTCACTCTGTAGCTCAGGCTGGCCTCGAACTCACAACGATCCTCCTGCCTCCGCCTCCCAAGTGCTGGGACTACAGACATGAGCCATCATGCCCGGCGAAAATTAAATATTTTAAAAACGTAAATCTGGGGATAATGCGGGTTTGGTGGCTCAATTTCTGAAGGCTGAGAAAGGATTCAAAATTCAAACCCAGCCAGGCAACTAGACAACTTAAGTGAGTCCCTGTCTCTAAATAAAAAATGAGGCTGACAATGCAGCTCAGTGCTAAGGTCCTGGGTTCAACTTCCAGGTACCAAACAAAGAAAAAACAGGGTTTTTTTTTTTTTGTCTTTGAGATGAGATCTTACTATATAGCTCAGACTGGCCTTACATTCACAACAATCCTCCTGTCTTAACCTCCCAAGTGCTGAGATGACAGGCCTTCTGGTAGCTTTCAGATAATCTGAACATCATTCTTGACTTGGGAAAAAAATGTTAAATTTGAATTTTCTCCTTTAATTTTCTGATGTCAGTTGAAGTAGCTACAATACAATTATTGTAAATAACTGTATCAAGCAAAAAAGATTAAGCCATTAAGTTATTTACAGAGGATTTTGCACCTATACTTAATTTAAAAAAGTTTTCCTTCTTGACTCATTATTTTTAAACAAAACAACCAAAATTCTCACTATGGATATTTTAAAAATATTTTGTACACAGATTAAAAAACTCAAAATTCAAAATGTTCAAAAAGTACTTCTTACCCATCTTCCATTCCTGGCTGTAGATAGAGATGAGCATGCACAGGTCGCAGTCTCTGAATCACATGAATACACAAACGCTGAAACATCTGTAAAGGAAAAGATGTAACCATTTAACAGCCAACTCATAACAGTTAAAAAAAGATACTAAGAACTAAGAATTTAACACATTTAATATCCTCTGCAAGCCACATAGTCAACATATAATATACACATAGGTATGTTCATTTACTGGTGTTTCTGAGACAAGGTCTCACTATGTATTTCAGGCCATTCTTTAACTTACTATGTAGCTCAGACTTGGCCCTGAACACAGACCCTTCTGCTTCAGCTCCCGAATGCTGGCATTATAGATATTATGAATGTATAGCACTATGCTTGCTACCAAATGACTTTTTGACCTGAAGTCTTTTTGAATTGTCAGCCAAAGACTGAAAATAAGAGGCAAAGTTTATGTTAAAAACAATACTGAAAGATGTGTACTGTGGTCCACGCCTGTGATCTAAGTACTTGGGAGTCAGAGGCAAGAAGATGGAGAGTTCAAGTCCCAGTTGGGAAACTCAGGAAGACTGTCTTAGAAAATAAAAAATGAGATCCTTCAGTTCATGAATATGATGACTGCGTGTTCATGCTGTTTGTATTTGAGTACTTTCCTCAAATCTTGTTATGATATCAGTACATTATCCATCTAATGTGAGAGAAAACACAAAAACAAACCTGGAGATACAGCTCAATGGTAGAGCATACACGGGTTCAATTCCTAGCACTACAAAAAACAGAAACATTCAAAGCTGGGCATGGTGGCACAAGCCTGTAATCTCATCACTTGGGTAGTTTATGTAGGGGGACCAGAAGTTCTAGGTTAGTCTGAGTTCTATGAATTTCAGAACAGCCTGGTCTACACAGTAAGACCCTGCCTCAAAGTATAGGGAAAATTCAAGTTGGGAGAATGCACAATTGTAATTCCAGCTACTTAGAAGGCTGAGGCAGAAGAATTACAATTTTGAGGTCTGCCTGGGCAACTTAGTGAGATCCTATCCCAAAATAAAATTTCGAAGGGCTGGAGCCAGGTGTGGTGGCACACTCCTGTAATTCTGGCACTTGAGAGGCTCAAGTGGGAGGACTGCTGTGATTTTGGGCCAGCCTGACATACATAGTAAGGCACTGTCTCAAAAAAAAAAAAAAAAAAATAGATACATAGATAGATAGGGTTACAGATGTGGCTCGATCCTACCTAAGTTTAATCTCTAGTGTAAAATTTAAGACAAGTAAAACAACATTCAGGGGACTGCAGTGTAGTTCAGTGGCCAAGCACATGCTTATTAACTCATTTAGAGCCCTGGGTTTGATCTCTAGCACCAAAAAATAAACTTTCAGTTTTTTTTTTTTTTTTGGGTCTTTTTCCTTTTTATTGGTATCGGGGATCGAACTCATGACTGCCTGCTTGCAAGGCAGGCGCTTATGCTGCTGAGCTAAATCCCCAGCCCTAAACTTTCAATTTTATGGTATACTGGGAAAAATCCAGCCAAATATAGGCTTCAGTAATACAGATAACCAAACTAAAAGCTTCACAAAAGCTCCTTGACTGGCAACGCTTTATATTCATCTTCTTCAGCAGGGGAGGGCAGGTGCTTGTCAGAGGAACAATGGTTTAGAGAAGGAAATATATGACTTCACTCAAAAGTAACATGGGATTAAAAATGGCTAGGGATTCTCTAAAAAGCACAAAAAAATGGCAAATAAACACATGAAAATATGTTTAATATCATTAGCTGTTAGGCAAATGCAAATAAAAACTACAAGGAAATGCTACTTCATACACACCTGGATGGCAAAAATAAGCTAATACTAAAGTGAAACCCTTATGCATCATCGGAAGAAATGTAAAGTGGTACAGTCACTAAAAATAAAAACAAAAAAACCCCTCATTTTTTTGAAAGCACAAATTGTTCTTTTTGATGACATTAGAGATTAGTAGTATAGTTATCTATCTTGTATAGATATTACACAATACATGTTTTTATCTATATACAGAATAATCTTTTCCATTTTCTCTTATCCCAGTTGTTCTTTCCTTCTGAGCACTTTCTTTCCCTTTCATTTTCACAGTATCTACTGTATATTTTGAATTTTACTACCCTTTGAGTTTTTGGTTTTTTTTTTTACACTAAGGAGACCGTATGATATTTACACATGCAAGTTTGACTTAATTCACTTATGAGTATGGTTTCAAGATGTATCCATTTACCTATAAAAGCCTCAAGTTTATCCTTTATTATTGCCGAGTAATCCTCTATTGTATAAAAATATCAAATCTTGGGGCTGGAGATTTAGCTCAGTGGCATAAGTGCCTGCCTTGCAAGCAGGCAGTCGTGAGTTCGATCTCTGGTACCGATAAAAAGGAAAAAGACAAAAAAAAAAAAAAAAAAAAAAAAATCACATCTTTTTTATCCATTCTGTGGCTGATGGGCATGTGGGTTGTTCCCAAGATTCAGCTACTATAAACTGTGCTGCTATAAACATGGGTGCACATATACCACTGTGGTATTACGTTCTCAATTTTTCTGGGAAAATACCCAGAAGGGGAATAGCATAAAATGGAACCTCCGATCCTAGTTTTTCGGAGAATCATCATACTGATTTCCACAGTGGTTATACCAGTCTACACTTCTTCCACCAACACTGTTGAATGTTCCTTTTTCCCTAGCACCCCACCAACATTTGTTACTGGTTACTTTCTTGATGACAGCCATTCTTTCTGGAGTGAGATGGTCTCTCTATGTTGTTTTAATTTCCATTTCTAGAATGACCAGAGATATTGAACATTTCTTTACATACTTAATGGCCATTTCTATGTCTTTGTATGAGAAATGCGTGTTCTTATTGAACTGTGTCTTTGAATTTGGGAGGCCAGCCTGATGTTTTCCAACAACAAAAAATTTTAGTATACCTAAAATTTAATTTAATTTAATTTAATTTAATTTAATTTAATTTAATTTAATTTAATTTAATTTTGTCTTTTGAGTCAGGGTATCACTATGCAGGTCAGCCTGGCTTTGAGCTCACTTTGTAACCCTGGCTGATCTTGAACTTGGTGGGATTACAGGCATGTGCCACCATGCTCAGATTAGCTATAAATTTTAAATGTAAGAATGACCACAATACCTAGTAATTCTACTTTAAATATATACCAAAAGGAAATGAATGTATGTCATATGCCTATAATTCCAGTTACTCAGGAGGCTGAGGCAGGAGGATCATGAATTTCAGCTGTCAACTTGGGCAACTATGCATCTCTGTTTTAACATTAAAAAAAATTTTAAAAAGGACTGGGGTCCTGTCTCAGTGGTCCTGGGTTCAATATCCTTACCACAAAGAAGGAAAAGTAAAAGAGAAAAGAAAAATATTATGTCCAAACAAAAATTTCTATGTAAATGCCCATCATTATTCAAAATAACACAGAAACATCTCAAATGGTAATCAACCAATGAATGGATAAATAAAATGTGGTGTAATCATTCAGTGAAATATTTGGCCAAAAAAGGGAGACATGGGGTCAGGGGTTTAGTTCAGCGGCACAAACACCAGCCTGGCAAGCGCAAGATCGTGAGTTCGATCTCCAATACTTCCCGCTCAAAAAAGGATACAAACTTTAAACATGGACAATTCCTAAACAAGATGATTAAACTAATGGAGACAGAAATTAGGTTAGTAGGCAAGCGCTGAGGAGAATGGAACTGAGGTTTCTTTATGCAGTGTTCTAAAATTATAGTAGTTACAATTTTTCAAGATAGTGAACATATCAAAAATTATTAAATTTTACTGTTTGAAAGGATTGAGTGACTTTTACAGTGTGAGAATTCTATTTCGACTAAAAAGCGGCAAAATTCAGGCTAACATTCTGGTTTGGTGTCATAAATGATCATAAAGTTGTCATGGCTTGTGCCTAGATACCCACCCAAAGCTTCATGCAGTTGTAGGTGGGACTTTTCAGAGGCGGTTGGGTCTAAAATGTGTGATGCTGGAATTAAGGATGTGTGATTATTAAATTAGTTCAGTGATCGTGTTGGCATTTGCCCTAAGTCAGGCAGTGTATATAGAATATAAAAGCTGCCACTGTTGAGGTTTGCTTGTTTGTTTTTGCTATTTCCTGCCTGACATGAACTGTTTCTCTTCTGCAATGCCCCTTTGCCCAGCAACCTATGAACTGAAACCTCTACAAACTGTGAGCTAAACTCTTCCTCTTTTTACTTTGAGTGTTATTCTGTCAATAATAAGAAAAGTAATCAAGATAAAAGCAATACTGAAATTTTCATTATGTAATTTTCCAATAATGTAATGATAACAAACTGACTCATCTGACAGTTCCCACGGCATTATTGAAATTCACTTAACTTTCTAGGTTATTATATATTCTCTTATAGTTAAGACTATCTAAGGATCTGAAAAATAATCAGTACAACTCATAAAGCATCCACATCTGAAAAATCAAGCAGTTATAACTTATCTTCCTATATCCAGAAAATGTTCATTTTAGTCCCTTGATTAGAGTAATAGCTGATGTTAAGAGGTTAGTGAAAACAATATTAAAATGCCTTTTATAACAGATGATGTATTTTCAAAGTATTTTCATTACAATATTAAGATGTTTTCAAAGTATTAAATATTAAGATATTTTCAAAGTATTTTCATTGCAATATTAAGATGTTTTAAAAGGTAAATTTAAGTAATTAAACTGAAAGCCATTTCTTTTTCAAATAATTTTTTCAAATACATTTTTCCTTACCTGTCTTACAATTTGATTAGGGCACTTAATTAGTATCTGCATTGGCCACCAGTCATCATCAGCCATGCGGTCTAAAAACCACTGTTAAGAAAACAGAGCATGATTTAATACTCAACCGATATTTGTTAAATAAGATGAAAGTCATAATTTACCTCCACTTGATGTTTAAATTAACTTCTTAATAAAATGGCTTCCCTAGTTATTAAAAAATCTTGTATATAAAATAACAATGATCATCTCATTACAGTTTTTTTGGGGGGGGGGAGACAGGATCTTGCTTGCTATATAGTTCAGCAGAGCACTGGCATGACTGATGTGAGCCACCATGACCACCTCATTGTACAATTCCAAGAATTTCTTTTAAAAATTATAATATACAATTCATATGATGGTGACCTAATTAGAGTAATATAGAACACTATTTTTCTCTTAGTCCTCATAAATGTCAGACTGTAGAATCTTTTGTTCTCCTATATGACCTTACAAATCATTTTCCTTCTGCTTAAAAACAGCAGCGGTGAGGAGTTAAGTAACACCCAGAAAATGTAATTAGTCAAAGCTAGCATGTAAAGATACCCTTCAGAGCAGATTGTACAAAAGGGCATGAAGAAAAAGAGTAACAAGTTTTTATGAATGAATGATATATGTTTTCTTAAAACACTTCAGGTGGAAAAAAAAGGGCTGGGAGGACAGGAAGATAAAACAAGAATGACAACATAGTGACTCACAAACGCTTCTGTTTGCAAACAATTCAATTCACAAACAAAAGCTTTTAGCAAAAATTTTACTTCCATTCATGAACTCCACATCAGGTAACAAACATGACCGTCGCTGTCTTCCCCATATGAACACAAATACAAGCATCTTCCACAAAAATCATAAAAACAAAGTTCGTAAATTAAAGTTTC